GATAAATTAAGACGAAACATGCTGTGATGGGAATACATGTGATGCTCAACTGAACAAGTTATAGAATTTTAAACCATGAGATAACTTTCTTGTGAGAGATCAGGAAAGATCAAAAAGTTGGATAAGAGTACTGTGAGGATTTGGGGGGAGATAAGCACTCATCCATTCCAAGTGTAAGTGGCTACACTTATGAAGGTATTTTAATAATAGCTAATAAAACATTTTACTCGGCATCTCCCTTCCTAGAAATTTAAAGATGTATTTGCACATGCAAAATGATGTGTATATATATATATATATATATATATATATATATATATATACAGATATACTGCTTGTAATTTCATATCAAAAAGATGAGGTCAATTTAAATGGCCGTCAATTGGAGACTGGTTAAATAAGTTATAGTTATCACTTTGGTGTAAACATTAGTTTTGAAAATAAAGTTTTAGATAAGTAGATGTATAGATAATAGATGCAGATACAGAATGATCTGAGGATTCTTCAGAGAAACAAGTGTAAAACTATTTTTTAGGGAAAAAACCAGATGCATATGCAAACATAAGCATTAAGTATGGTGGTGGAGGGCAGCGAAACTAAGACCTGGAAGAAAGTCACTGACTTCCCCCTAGACCTAGTATTTCTAAAATGTTTCTCTGCTTCTCCAGGTTTTTATAATAATTAGGTTTAAGTTGGCACCTATGGAGTCAGGTCACCCCGTTCTGTATTTGTGCATCATTCCCTCACCACACAGACTCACTCACCCTTTTTCTCTTGATACTGCCTTTTGGGAAGAAACCAGACCAGTGGTCTTGCAGAACATACGATGCAAACTTAATTGAATGCAAACTCGCTCCCAGTGCCGTTTCCTTTCTAAAAATTCATTCAGTATTTACTGAACAATATGCCAGCCAGTTAGCAAATGGGGATAGGGTGAATAAACCAGGTGCAAGCTCATAAAGGGGATATATTGAGTATGTTAAATAATTAGTATACAAAAAAAGGTTTGTGCCATGAAAGACCTGTACTGGCAATATTGTGGGCCCAGACGTAGCCCTAAGTTAGTGTGTGAGGGGCAGGGGTGCGAAACGGGAAAAATGACTCAGAGATAGAGTTTGGCCTTACACCTGCAGGGCAGATATGCACTGGGCAGGTCAACAGGAGAGGCTGGTTTCTTGTTGAGGAAATCTCATGTTTCAAAGGTTTGAAACCCCAGCTCCCAGCAGGCACGCAGAGGTGGACCAGGAGGTGCGGAGAAATGTACCACAGAGAAATGGAATGGGCCACGAGACCCTTTGTGTCACATTAAGATGACCTGGTTTTTAATATGCTCCTATTTACATTTTAAGACAACCAATCCAGTAGAACCGGGGACAGTGACTCAGGCAAAGACAAGATCGTGACGACTTTGCTGGAGACTGACATCAGGCTTTGGTGATTTCCTGTGTGTTCTGCCACCTCTCTCATTCTACATTACACTTAGCATTTTCACAGCTCAGCAGTGAAATGAGAAGCTAACGGATCATGGACTTAGTCCTTGGTTAACTGAACTGAAAATTATTTCTCGGTTCTTCATTAACTCCAGAAATTTTTTCTGTAGTTACCTTAGGACAATAACTCTTTTTTTCCTAGTTATCAAATTTAGAAAAATCACTTAATTACAAAACAACCAATCACATTTGATTTATTCTTCAGAAATACCAGCAAGAAAAACTGAAGTTCCTAGAACTGCCTTCCTGATCTTTTCACGGTTTCCTTTCATTGCATTTAGAAATTACATTTGATTATGCCTTAGATTTAAAACTAAAACTTTTATTTAGTAACAAATTATTTTATATTCAGTTTTCTTTCAATTTCATCAGTTTTGTCATGTGGTATGTAATTAACCAAAAATATGATCTGGCCTTTAGAGCTGCAAGATTAAAACATAGTCTAAATTAAAGGCATTAAATTATACTGTTTCACTTAGTATATTTTATTGTAATCTTGGTTCTTTGAAAAGTCTGTGTATGATTATCAGCATCCCAGCTACCAGGGACAAATGCAGAGACTTCCTTATATCAATTCTATTTCTTTAAAACCTTCCAGCATCCCCATGATGATGCAGGTATTTTCATCCCCATTTATTTAAGCACTAGAGAACTGAAGCTAAGTGTGGGGTTCAAACATGTCTGACTCTAAGGCCTATGCTTTTCTCCTTTTAACCTCCGAGTAAAAACATTCACAGTAGTATAAACCAGTTCTCAGCTGGGGGCATTTTTGCCCCCCCCCCCACCCCCAACACACACACTGGACATTTGACAATGTTTGGACACATCTGGTTGCCACATCTGGGGGAGGAGAGATGACTGCCACTGGCACGTAGTAGGTAGACGCCAGGGATGCTACTAAAGAACCTACAATGCACAGGACAGTCCCCCACAACAAAGAATTTGAATCCAGCCCAAAATGCTAGAATTGCCAAGGCTGAGAAACTATAGTATAAACAAAATATTCCTCAAAATGTCTTCTTATGGAAGCATTACTACCCAATCCTGGGTTTTTTTCTGTAATCAATGTTTAGAGTCAATGAAAACAGCTTTAAACCATAACCAGACGTGTATGTATTTAATACATATATGCATGCATTTTTAACGCAGCTGAAAAAGTTTATGTTGTAAAACTGTGAAATGATCACAGAACTTTGGAGGTTTTCAACTTCAAATATATACTATCATATAAATGCACAGGAGTGGGGAAATATATATGTATGTTTGACATGTTTTCACTCATGTGTGACTGTTCTTATCTTTATTCTGTTTAATAAAGTATGCAGGTGGGTGGAGGAAACTTTCACTCAGAAAAGCAGGGAGGAACAGCACACTGAAGCTTTATAGACATGTTTAAAAAGGCACAATGAAGCCACACCATGAGGCAGAAAACTACTTTCTTGATTTTATTTTAAAAGTACACAACGTCACAAAACTAGAGCAAGTTCTTGTTTTCTTAACCAAATTTTGTTAATTTCAAAATCTGCACCATTGGATATTTAAACCAGAAATTTTAAAGATAAAAACCATTTTTGAAACAGACACTATCAATTCTCTACTTGCATATGTGAAGTGTCAAAATATTTTTTCTCAGTAGTACAAGTGTATTTATTACAAAAGTTCACAGTTACAGATGAGAATAAGTGAATCAGTGAATTGTGGTTCTCTTAACACTTGTGTCATTTAAATTAGCAGAAAACACAAAGTTCTTCCTTGATTGAAACTTTGTGTTTGTTCACGACCAAAACCAAACCCAATTAATATTCGCCACACTCTTAAATTACAAGATACAGTCTTTTGTAAACTTGATTTTTTTTCTTCTTTTTTTAGCTGAGCCATTCTGCCACCTGTTGGCAGCTCAGCAGCAGCTCAGCTCAGGCTGGGACTCGAATCACTGTTGCTCAGAGCTCACAGCTCTTGAGCGAGCTCTTAACTAACTGAGCCACTCGGCCGGCCCTGTAAACTTGATTTTAATAGTAAGAAGCCAGATGCAGCAAATATTTGCTGGTGTTACTATCCATAAGATAAAATATTTGCTGGTGTTACTATCCATAAGATAAAATATTTGCTGGTGTTACTATAAGATAAGCAGAACTGCAATTCACAAATTTATTATTCTTCCCTGTTTCTGTAACATAAGTAGAATATGTGCTCAGTTATGGACCGTATTTTAGTGTCAAAATAGGCACATGAGTAAAAAACCCAACTACAGAACATGTTGCCTTTATTGCAAGACTATCCAAAGGCATTTGAAATATTAAAACTTGCCCAGAATATTTATACTAAACACAGGAATATTATAAAGGTATATGTACATTATATATTGTCACAAGCCACTAAAAAGTTAAAATGGTGCCAATGTTTTCTACAAACTACTCCTTATATGACACATCAAAGCATTAACTACATAATATGGACCTTTTCTGTTCACACTGGAATTATGCATCTGAAAGCCCTAAACACTGTGGAGATGAAGAGATTAGAAAAAAATTTTAAACATTCACATAATTTCAAAGTTACATGCTGCACGCACACAAAAAGAATGGCTATTTTAAGAAGCCATACATTACAGAATTTGATATACAATTTCATGCAGTGAGTTCTTTTTATATGTAACCAAAATGTTTACTTGCCCCTTCACTTGCTTTAATTTTCTGGAACTCAATATTGAAAATTATCTTTTTAATAAAATCAGGTATTAATTCATACCGATAATCTTAATTGTGTTTCTTGATTTAACTTCCCCTAAAACACACTCAGGCTGTGTTTCTCCATTGTAATGACTCCATTGCAGATAGGTCAAATTTAAAGTAAATTATTTCCCTGGAGCAATAAGATTTCAAAGAAAATTTTTTTTTTTGGGGGAGGAGGGCTTCTAACAGGGATATATCAGTAAGACTGCCAATAAAAACAGCACCTGTAAACTGCATTATTCAAAGCACATAACTGCATCCTCTACGGTATCACTTCCTTTCAAGGTATCCTATGTAACTCAAAAAGATGGTGTCGCCTCTCTCAGGTATACAGTGGAATCAAATGGTTCTTCCTTGAAGATGCAGTGTTGTCCTGGACTGATATTGTTTAGCTCTAATGGAAATGCTTGAGTAACAATTTTTTGTTGAATTATTTGATATTCCCAATAGTAATTCTTGAACAAATATTTGATCTCTGGTTCCATTGAAATTATGAGTGGGAATTGTTTAGGAAGTTATCAGTACTAACTTTTGAATTAACTGAAATTTACAATAAGAGTAGCTGGAAACAGCCTAAAACTGAATTCTGTACAGTAAACTTCATCACGCCCAATAGATCTCTTCTGGTTACACGGCTGATTTTTGATAAGCCCGCTTGTCAGGTGGTAGGTGGGAGGGACCTGAACTGAAAGACCTTCTGGATGAGATGCTGCTTACTCAGAGTTACATTCTAGACTAACTGTGAAGTCTCTGGGAAGGAAAGCCTTCCATGTGTCCATTTTTTTGCAGTAATTTCCACTTAGATCGCATAATTTTCATTCCATGAAAATGGGAAATAGAAAGGACCAAACATTTTATTAAAGTTGGTGCTGTTATTTATTCTTATAATAATATAAGTTTTATTCATATAAAACAGACCAGACATCTGGTATTCAAAAATAGTTACTGTTATAAAATCAGAAACACAGTCAAAGAGTGTTGGGGATGCTGAAGTTTTGAAATCTTTATGAATAACGCAATCAGTGAACATCCACAAAGAACAGAAAAGAGGAGGCAAGACTGAAAGTATGATGATAGAAAGGTGTCACAGTGATGCGTTTTATGAACAGTACCTTCACCTCTAAGCACCTTCCAGGTGATAGCTAGCTCATAGGCACCAGAAATTCATAATAAAAATTAAATTACCCAAAAGGCACAGATGAAAATGTTAACACAAATATAAAAGCAATATTATGGAAGGTAAAAACCTATTTTAAAAAAATGCTTCCAAATATGTAAAACTATACACTAACCCATTACACATTCAGCTTAAATTTACCAGTAAAAAGTGTACACAATGCTCTTCCTAATCATAAATTCATGCCAACATTAATTTATAATATAATGTAGCATGTACCACCACAGCACCCAAAGAGATTAGCAGAAACCAACTCCCTACTAAAATCTAGGGAAAAGGTTTTAGAGCTAGTGAAATAATTTATTGCAGATCTTATTTACTATAAAGAAACTGTTGGCTCATTCTACTATATCCACACTCCCTCACAATCTTCAGGGAAATACAATAAATTCACTTTCTTCTACCACAAGTATTTAACACATTTGGCAGTTAGGAGTATTCCTTTAATTTTTCCTTTTTTTTTTTTTAAAGAATAAATCACTTTCACAAAACTAAGACTCAAATTTTTCAAAGCTCAACTTGATTTTCTGCAACTACACAAAGACACGTTGGCCATACAATAGCAACTGTGCATCCTCCCGAGTCTGAAATACAAAATGGAGGACACTTAACTAGCTTAACATGTTATTTCCTCATTGAGTTTATGAAGAAAACATCCTCCAGTAACTGCATTCAAGAAGGCAAATTTAGGATTACATGTTTCTAGAACATTTAACATGCAACACCATCAAAAAACAACACTGAACCAGAGAATAAAACTTTAATTTAGAACCAATAATTAGGGAATTTCAGTCAGTATCTGTCAAATAATAAATGCGTTATAATTTTTTCTTAGTAGAAAAAAATATGACCTAACGTGGAGAGCCAGCATCTAGTTGGGCGGGAACTGCAAAATACTCCATCGCTGATATGGCTGGTCGCTGTGCTGAAGACCCCCACAGGCCTCCAGGAGTCAGCTTACTCATCTCCCAAATCCATCCTCGCTATTGCACCACTATTATCATTGCTCAATACGGCTGACAGCAAATTTTCTAAAAGAATCTGTCAATGCTCCTTCATTTTAGCATATAAAAGAGCTTATTATGTATGTCCCTGTTGCCGTAGCAGTCTATTAATTAAATACTTAAGAAATCATTTCATAGACTTAGGTTTATGAATGACTTGAAACTAAAACGAGTAATTCCTAGAACACTGAGGTGTTTTCTGTTATTAGAGCTATTCCAAACACATTTAGAGTTTTCCAAGAAGCTATAAAAACAAGAACAAACATAAATGTATAAAAGTGTGTTTTGCCCTAAATGATCCTTTATCAATTTTGGGGTACTGAGTCATAAATTGAGAAAGGCATCCTAAAAATATTGGTAGAAATTATAAAGTACCACTTTCGATGATTCAAGTATCAACTTGGTGTGCATGTAAGTTCACCAATTTCTTTACCTGTGATTTTTCATATTCAAAGTGCTACATGTTACTTAAGTGTTAATATTTAGAAACCTAGAAAATCAGCCTCTTACAGGAAATCTTTTTCAGATGCTGACTTCATCTTTAGTAACTTTAATACCATTTCAATATAACCAAATGAAACTTTTTTTGAAGTATAGTTCTTACAGTTTCTGGTTACCTCTATTTTGAGGCAGGTAGAAAAATTTAGAGCAGAATAGGTTTTCATATTTCAAAAGAAAAGAAACGAGGAGCCCACAGATGAACAGTGCGGAGGCTCTCTCTATACTATGGACCCATCCTTGCTCTGCGCTGGGATCATCACGGGCACCGCTCCCATCCTACTGAGATTAGGGGCAGCTACCTTAGTGGGTGGGAGAGTCGGACTCTGAGGAGCGCGTTCAAAGTCTTCACTTGGCACCTGGTTATACTGAGTCTTGGAATATCCTTCCATGTTGGAAGGGGACATGGATCCCAGGGACGAGTGATTGCTGCCGATGTAGCTTCTGGCTGTGGATGTCCTGCTCTTTGGAGGAGGCACGTCTTCCCTAAAAAGCAAAGATGCTAATATAAGCTCAAAGAATAAGTTTCTAAAAACTTATAATCATGTAACCTCTGAATCATGGCTGAGGGAAGAGCTTCTACTTAAGCATTAAGTATATAAAAGTGTGTATGACACACAAAAAAGCAAGCACAATAAAGCATAATGTTATGAAACTGCGTATTTGTCTCAAATCATTTCGAGTATGTATCGTCACACATAATGAAATGTGTTTTTTCCAAAAATTTATGATTCTATAATGTTGGAACATTAGTTCCAACTATTAGTTGAAACAAATAGCTTCATGTTCTAGTATCACTAGTCAAGATAATCTAATTAGTCATGTAATGCTTTATAGTTGATAAAGCACTAATACCTACAGATATTTTTCTACCAAAAAAAAGAAATCCTTTTTGTTATAAAAGTTACTTATCTAAGATCTTAGCTGAAAACTTAGCAGATTCAAGTCTGCAAAAACTAGGAATAAGAATGTTCATACCAAGGGCTGACAAAGAATATGTATCTGGATTACCTCTGGTGCATTTCAAAAATACAAGTGCCCAGACCCCACCATATCTACCAAATGTAAATTTCCTGGTGTTATTTAAGTCATCTGCTATTTTTTAAAATTTTATAATCCAATCTGCACTTTTAGTTAAGATCTATTGGTTTAGAATATTCTAAAAAAATAAAATCACATTACCAAGAGTTCTATAAACTACCTGTGTCACTTGATACGCTCAGGTCTTTTTTTTTAAAACCTCAACTTCTGGTCCATGTTTTTGAAAACTGCATGCCTGCACTATCCTGGGAGAAGGCAGACAGTCCTGAGATAAGTCATTTTGCAGTGCTTCTTAAAATAGGGTCCAAAATTAGACAGGGTCAAGAGGCAGGAACGATGGAGGTTGGATGGATCTGCACACTTGAAATTGAATAGTAAAAGCTTTCAAATGTGTTGCGGGGAAGAGCTACAGCTTTTACCTAATTCTCACAGGGGTAAATGCTTTGGATGATTGAGAACTAAGGCATTAGAGACATAAACTTAGTATTCATCAGTCAATTCTTGTGTCACAATTACCTGATATCATGATGAACTTCCTTTTCGTATTTCTCTTCTCTGCGCTTTTTATGACAGCAAAAGATGATCAGACCAATCAACACTAGAGCAAGCAAAGTTCCGATAATAGCTCCTGCAATTGTGCCGGCTCTATTTGAAGCTAGAATAAGATGTTTATAAGAAAATAATGAATAGTAAAAAACCATATCAAGTCATACTGAAGGTAAGGATACACACTGACAGAATAATTTCCTTGCATGTATTAACTTTACATGACAAATTAGCTTTTTTTGGTCTGGGAGAAAATCCCACTAAAAGAAGTTTCATCTGAACTGCATAATCTATTTCAAGCATAAAAGTGATAAAACCAGATTAAAAGATTTTAATATTCCCAGCTATCTTGGTTGGCATGTAAGGATATTCTAAATAGCTTGTATTTATAATGGCTAAATATGGTGTAATAGTTGAGTTGACAACTTATCTTCTTAATGTCGCTACTTCTTAATGTTGCTACAATGAAGGTTTTATTAATAAAATGTAATTTTTCCATTCCACGACTTTAGGAAAACTAATAACTAAACCACAGAGTGCTTTGCTCCAAGTTAGCACCCACTTGCCCTCAATACACACTTGCTAACTGAACCAAAGGGAAGCAAACATTATTGCAACAGGCAGAAGAAAGATACTCACGAGGAACAACATCCAGGCGTAATAGGCACTGATCAGAGCCCACTCTGTTGGTGACTGTACAGCTGTATGTCCCCGAGTACTCAGTAGTGGCATTTTTAACGGATATAACAGGTGAAGTCATTTCTATGAAAGGAAGGCAGGAGACAGCAAAACCCATTTTTACATGACTGTATTGCTGCATCTTGGTAAAGGCAAACCCTACTAAGTTTGACAATCCAGGCCAAAGTGAGACAGGCTGAAGCTGGGTGCAGAACAAGCTGCCAGGGAGACACACACGTCTGTCAAGGTGAACATAACCACCGCCTACTGAGCACAGACAGTCTCAGCTGAAGCAGAGCTATACTGATTATAAAAAAAAATCCCATGCCACAAAGGCACTTGGGTGCAGCAAGGAGATTTGCAAAACCTATTTCATCCCCCACAGATGGACAAACATACAAAATCAATTCAGAAGGGGTCATGTAGTTTGCCTCTTAGTTTGAAAAAAAAAAAAAAGAAACAGAGGTGGAGAGAAATCCTACTTATGACCAACCAGTTTGAATACAGGTCAATTATAACCACGAATAGATTTAACCAATTTGTAACTTTCTATTTAGTGCCACACAGGTGTTTTTCAGGTTTGTTTAGTTTTCATAGACACACCATGGGTAAATGACCCTATCTTCAACATGAATCTGGACAAAACTCTCAAGATCCAATTCTTGTTATAACTTAGCCACTAATTTATGATCATGAACATTTTCCATTATTATTACCATCAATTAAAAATATATACCAAAGAAACCAATTATAATATCCAAAATGGTGAAACTGTTATAAAAATATCTCTATACTACATGACGCTAAGCTGTCATTATAAAACACAGAACAATTCCCAGGGAATCCTGATCGTCCTGTGTAGAATAGGGAAGGTATCTGGGGATTTATTCATACACACACACACACACACACACACACACACACACACACACACACAGAACCTTACTAGATTTAGGCCCAAATCAATGACACATGTACAAGTAGAGTCAATGGTACCTGCTATCAACATTGTGGGCAGTTTCTGTGAGTTGGACAATTTTTGCCATTCATATTGTAAGGGAAGTGAACCTTCTTTTGGTTCACATTTTAGTTTGAAGTCATTTCCAATTTCTTCTGATCCATCAATGTAACATCGTGTACCCGAAGGCTTAACTGAGAAAAGAAAAGAAATTAAAACTTTATACAAAAGAATGGAATTTACATTTACGATTACCTGAACACAAAGCATGCTGCACAACCAACCACGGACGCATCACGTGATCCTGGGTTCCAAGCTGACAAGACTGAAAGACTACAACAGGTCGTCATTGCCAGTTTTCTCAGTTTTGTCCAACACAAAACAGGCAAGCAGCCACTGCACAGGGAGGTCTGGCAACACCCCAGGCACAGCTCTGTGCCCCTGTTCCATGGGGCACCCCCTGAAAACAGCAAGCATGAAGGGGGCTGCACCCTTTCAGACTCGAGGAAGCTTCCCCCTCCGTTCCTAACCCATTCCTCTACTCTGCTGGACACGCAGACCTCTGGGGGTGTGTGTGGGTGTGTGTGTGTGTGTGCGCGCGCGATGTCACATCCCTCTGACAGCTGTTACCGTGCTAGTCAGGGGGTATATAATAAATAATGCTGATAACTGGGGCAACTCACTTAGTACAGGAAGGACCAATCAGTATGCCACATATACATGAACCCGAGAGCAGTGTTATACAAAGGGAATAAATCTGAGGCTACACTCCAGGCCTCTCTGGGTAACTGTTCAGAGTGGCTGCTAACCTACTCTGCAATTCACCCCAACACTGGATTAACACCTTGGCATTTATACTCTTTTGTTGAACTTGATTAAGGCATAGTATACATACAATAAAATTAACACATTCTAACAGTGTGGTAGATCATGGCCAACAGATGTATGTATGCAGTGTACACGCCCCACTCCCCGCCCCGTTAAGCACCATTCCAACCTCCTCCCAAGCAAGTTCCCGTGCTGGTTGCAATTGATCTCACTCTACAGCCCCGGCCCCAGGAGCCGCTGACCAGACTTTATTACTGTAGGTTAGCGCTGCTTCTTCTAGTCATCTAAGTGGAATAATGCAGTATGTCCTGTTTTTTACAGTACGTACGTTTGTCTTGCTTTTATTCATTGTAAGGCATTTGAAATTGACTCACGTTGTTCTATATTAAAAAGTCCATTCTTTGATTGCTGAGTTGTGTCCCATGGATGAAATATAACATCAATTTGCTTATCCGTTCATCTATCGATGAACACTGATTCCAGTTGTGGGGCTACTGTTAAAGCCTAATTAGCTAAATTGCCCAGGAGCAGGCGCGCAGCCTGTCCACATCAGACTGAGCAGTGTAAGGAGGTGGGAAACGTCGCTGGACGAGAGACAGGGATTCTGAAGGCGTCTAGGAGTCTCAAAGAGGCCGAGATGGGTTCTGAGTCTGACACTGTTTCTAAGGCAGAATTAGTTGAAGCTGGGATCCAACTGGCAACAAAGGCCAATTAGCAACTGAGTACCCCCAGTAACGGACGCGTAGTGCAAAGTGGGTCTTGCAGGTGGCGCTGGGGAGACAGCAGTTGCCTATAGTTTACGGCTGCCCCACGACCTCGGGAGAAACCGTGTTCCCTACAAACTCTGCTGTTGGCTGTATGTGTCTGTCCTCCTAGCCTGATAAATGGCAGGCCTGCTTTCTTCTTTAGTCTGACCTGGTTTTCATTCTTTCAGTCCCGGATGGGCTTTTATTCTTTCACAACAATAAATGTGAGTTGGTTTGACAGTTTTACAGTATTATGAACATTCGCGTTAATACTGGCATAGTTTCTTTTTTCTCAGTTAACTGCTGGGTCATCTATGGTACATGTATGTTTAACTTTAAAACAAACTGTCAAACTTTTCCGAATATGCCAGAAGGATCTATCATATCCGGTGGAACATCTTTAACCAAGGTATTCAGTCGTGATCTCACTTCTTCACACACTTCTTGGTAATTCTTAAATTTGATATTTCTCCCCTTCATCTGTTACTCCTTGTACTTTTTCCTAAGGATCAACAGATGCATGTAACTGCATTGCTTTCCTAAGCAACTTCGTTTCTTTGTCAGATTGATCAATTACCCTGAAGACTACATCAACTGGATGTTTAAATCCATTTTGCAAATTATTTCATCCTGTGAGTCTTCAACAAAATGAGCCTTGTTCTCCATTTCTTCAAGCAACCAATAAATCCTTTATTCCATAAACTAGCAGTGAGATATGAAAGCAATGCTTTGTACATCAAACATCTACTGGGTAATACAGCATTCTAACTCCAACCCTCGTCTTTTCTACTGAAAATGACCCTTTCCCATACACCAAACGTTTCCAACGAATGAGCAGTTAACTGAAAGCAGCTGCTCAGGAGATTCAGGGTTTGAGACCCACTGAGTTTGGGTCTCAACACACTCCACCCACAACAGAACAGTATTTTACCAACACTGGTTTTGGAGTGTCACCTTGGAGAGGCCATCTGCTTTCCACTGAGAAAGTACAAGTCTTCTTTCTACATGCTAACCCCAACCACCATACCACAGTGAAGATGAACTCTTCCTCCATGGCACTTGGCTGGGTGGATCAAAAGAAAGATAAAACCACAAAGGGACATAGATGAAGTTTTATCCCCTAATGTCTCTTTGGTCTAGGGTTCCAAAAGACCTAGCCATTGTCCTCAGAACATCTGCCTCCATGGTCATTAGCACAGCTAAGCAGTTCTTTTCAGGTAAGGGTACATGACTATAATGTATATGTACCTGGCCAGTGACCCACCAATTCAGTAAGGATGTGCTCCATATACAGAAGGTGCCAAAAAATGTTTACACATTTTAAGAAAGGAAAAAACTGTATTAAAATTGTAATACTCTATTTACCGATAACAAAAGATGAATATAAGTCATTTGTATATATTTTTTTGGTATCCCCAGTATGTATTGCATTATCATCCCTCCATGCTAGTGGCCTACCTCAGTCTATAGGAAACACTCTATATCCCCATATGGGACGCCATAACGTTTATCATGTCATCCATCCAGGAATGCTAAATTTGCTTGGTTCAAAATACCCTTATTCCAGGCAAAATCCATACAGCATAGGTGCTAAAAATCAATAGGCAAAGTTTGAGGAGAAACAAGATATCTGCATAGTCTCAAAGTGGCTCCCTGAGATACTTTTTTATTTTTATTTTTTTAGCTAAGCCATCCTGCCACCTGTTGGCAGCTCAGCTTGGGCTGGGACTCGAACCACTGTTGCTCAGAGCTCACACTCTTGAGCGAGCTCCTAACCAACTGAGCCACTTGGCCAGCCCTCCAAGATACTTTTTTAATTACGAAAGGAGGCATTGTAAGTTCACAGTGGAGAAACCCATCAGATAAAACTTAAGTGATCATGATTAACAATGAAACAGGACATTGTGCACCCCTGACATGAGTGGCGGGAACTAAGGAGATGTAAATGCAACGTGGATTTTAGACTTGATCCGAGCACAGGAGGACACTGGTAGGAAACTGAAATTCAAAAACTATTAACTATGGGGGAGGGGGGGTGTCACTTCGAGGAGTAAAAAGTATATCTATTGCACTTTGTTGTACAGCTGAAACTAATTCTAAAAAATGTGTATTTCATAATAAATAATTTAATAAAAAAATAAAATCCATAATTTTGAATTAACAATTTAAATGTTTAATTACTTAAACTTTGGGAATGGCAAATAATACAGAAAGATCAATTGAAAAATTCAAAGCATATCTGGACTATTCATTATGTAATAATAAAACCATGTTTGAGTAAAATAAAAACAAACAAAAAAACTATTAACTAGTTTAGTTAATAGTATTATCCCAACATTAGTTTTTTTGTTTTGATAACTGGATTATAATTTTGTACCATGTTAATACATATTAGGAGAAATTCGATGATGGGTACACTCTCAGGGACTCTCTAGTAACTTTTCTATAAAACTAAAATTATTTCAGAATAAAAAGTGAAAAAAGAAAGCCCTGCCCTGTACCAGTGGCTTGCAAATCCCAGTGCTGCCTGAGCCACCACACATGCTGTGGCCACCGTGTTCTGGCGGCACTTTGAGTGCACCATGTATGTCCCAGAAACTGTTAACTGTGTGTGCTCTCCTCTTCAAAACAACCCACCTGTGTACCAAAAGGTCTCTATAATAGGCCCTTTCGGACTTGTGGGGAAAGGTTCTGATGATATGTGGCCACCATGTTAACCTGCTAATTCCCTTTGTTATCATCACCCCCTTTCAGCTTCTTTATCAAGACGCGTCCACACGCACATTTGGTGCAACACTTTATAGTAACATGTCACCCCTCACACCCAGGCAAGTAACAGTCATCCCAGTTGGTGTCCACACAGCGTACAGGGCTCGATGAATGTGCTCTCGTTACTCTGCGAGCAGCATGGTGGCATCTCCTCCCGATTTCCCACAAATGAACCAAGGTTTAGCAGAGCCTATAACGGTGAACCAAGCGAGAGCTCCACTGGACTGCCACTCAGTCTTGGCTCTAGAGGGCATTTTCTGTTTCCTCCAGATTGTGCAAGCAGAATTTTCAGGAAAAGCTAACAGACAAGTTCTGTCCAGCTCTCACTTTCAGGAGAAAAAATTCTGGTAGTTTCTCCCACAGCGTGACTCATCTGAAAACATGGAAGATAGCTACAAGACATTTTTCTCTGGCTCTGAGACAGCCTCGAGGATCTGAGTATTAGTCACCCAACTTCCGTTCGCTAATAACTTCCTACTTTCTCCTCTTACCCTTTATTTAAATCCTCTCTCTCTCCCTGGTTTGAATTCAGAGTTTGCTTGGCCATGATGATCCCCAAAACACTTAACGAAAGATGTTCCTGTATCAGTGCTTCCCACTGACCCATTCCGAGGATTTCAATGTTGGGGTTGTGATGCTGAAATGTAAAAGGGCTGTTCTCCCTGCCCAACAGCCATGGCTGCTGCTATCAGTGTGCTTGGCCATACTATTATGTGCAACACTATTGTCCAACCTGGCTTCCTTCTTGTTCTGTAATGATCCCTTCAGTGGAAATGCGAATTCAACCTAGAACCAGTCCTACAGAATCAATCTCTCTCTCTCTCTCTCTCTCTCTCTCTCTCTCTCTCTCNCTCTCTCTCTCTCTCTCTCTCTCTCTCTCTCTCTCTCTCTCACACACACACACACACACACACACACACACACACACACACACACACACACACCTCTTCTGGGAATATGAGTACATGGCAATCACATCCCTCAAAAGCGTGCCTGTCCCCATCAAACAGAGATTTCACATTTAAAAATTCTGATATGCTGATAAACTGGTATACTCTGTGGTACATCACAAACCAGTTAAAATTCCATATATATCTTAACTCAATGCTTTCTGGAGAGCAGTGTTAAAAGAAGATATACAGTCAGGATTATAATCCCAGGTATACCTGGGTTTGAGATAAGAGTTCAGACAAGTTATTCAACTTTTACCTGCTTTCACATTTATTAAAAAAAAAAAGGTAACTCCATGTTTACTGAATGTAGACACAGAAAGCTAGAATTTCTGATGTTACCATGTTCCTTTTCTTAGTTCCTTGTTCAGACTCACATGCTTTCATAGCAGAGGGAATATTGTGAATGAATGCCATTTAGAATGAAGTGTCTTTCACCAGGACCCTGTGTGTGCCTGCTCACCGATGCTGCCAGTGGGAAGACTGCCTTTCCAACCAAGACAACCCCTCAAGCTGCCACAAGTGCACAAAAATCTGCATTCCTGCTTCTATTCTGATATTTATTCTTTAAAAAAGAGTGGTATTCGAAATGAATCTAGAACCTGACATGCTTAACCCCTAATTAGTTCTCTAAAACAAAAGGAATGAGGTAGAAGTTGATGTGGGGGAGACCTGCCTTAATTAATTCCAGCGGTATAGTAGGCAATTCTAGCCATCAGTATTTCCTATGTAAAGTGGGTCCCTAAGTGTTCCCCAAAACCTGACACCTTAAGTTACAAAACAGGGGCATTTACTGTCACAGAAAAAAGACAGAGAGTTGTTTTTCTATATGGTAGCCATTGTGCTTTTGTGTCAAGTCTACCAAAACAAGATTTAAGAAGTATATTTATGAAAAATCACCTTTCAGGATTTCTCAATTTGAAGGGGTTTAGAAAGCTTGTGCATGACCATGAAAGCTAGAGAAGGATAATAAACTTGGAAGCCTTTGACAGTTTGGAAAAGGTTTACACTTATCTCCTTAACTATCCTAGAGAGAGAGCTACATGACATGCTGGTGACCATCTGGCTATCCCCTTGCTTTATGGATGAAAAACAATGATGCTCATAGAGTTTAAATGACCATCATGTGTAAAGGCCGTCTCCCAATTCAATCTTCCTTCTACTGTATTCCATCTCCTCCATTCTAAATACTCCAGTTATGCATCATAGAAACCTCATTCTTTGGGTAGTTTGAAAATGTTTAAAAGCACAGGTAACATTTTGAACTGAATGAGATCGAATAGAAATGTAATGATAATTACACCTTGTAATGTTTCCAAAAGGTAGGCTGAGGTCCAGGAAATGAAGAGGTTCTATGTAATTCTCAGGGCAAATCTGAGGACAACACACACAAAAAATCCCTGGATCCTCTAACTCCTGGCTGAGGGTTCTTCTCCCATATCACAGAGCTTCTTCATTTAACTTTCAAATTCTTTTATACATTTCACAAAGAAGTTGGTCACTTATTTTGTAACCTAAAAAGTATACTAGATTTATGTTTCATGCTATTTGAGGACAACAGAATTACTTCAAATGTTTAAAATTATTACTCTTAAAAAACTAAGCTTTAAAAAAAAACACACACCAAAAAAACCCCTAAGCTTTGTCTCACACAAATGCTACTATCATACCATGACCACCCATCTTGTTAATAAGTAACATTAATGTAAACAACTTACCAAGAACTGTCAGCTGTATCTTCTTATTTCCAACACCGGGGGCTTTTTTCACTTTGCACTGATATGTGCCAATATCTGACAACTGTAAATTTGTTACATTTATTGATGCATCACCAGATTTGAGATCACTACTTGTAAAATGCACTCGTCCTTTCAGATCTGGATAGTAGTCATCATAAATTTTGTCTCCAGAATATAAAATAATCTAGAAGAAAACCAAAATAAAACAGGGAAAAATAAAACAAAAAAACAAGCAAACCCTCTGTTCTCATCAAAGGAGTTCTGACACACCTGCTACTGTGGGATCCAAAAAAGAATAAGAACACAGTATTCCCAAGAAACCACAATTATTCAAAGCACAGGTTAAGAAAATGGAAGGAGATCAATACGATCCTTGAGGATGGTCACACACTCTCATTTTAAATAGGAAAAACAAGACCCAACGTGATTAAGTGATGTAGCCCTATATTAGAGTCATTTAGCAAAATTGGAGAAGAACACGGATTTGTGAATTTCTATACACTCTATTTTTCAGCTGCCTCAGAGGCTGCAGTGTGTCAATCAAGTGTATAAAATCAAGTCCACACCACCACCACTCCGAAAAAAGGGCTTATGATAATTTACCTGTGAAATCGAACAAAAAACCCATCATTTATTTATCTTAATATGTTGGAGAGTTAATATTCAATATTTCAGGGTTCTAGACTCTAACAGATAAAATCATAAAATAAACCTCTTAAGTTATGTATGCCCAGGTTTGTTTTTTTTTTTTTTAGCCGAGCCATCCTGCTACCTATTGGCAGCTTAGCGGCTGCTCAGCTCAGGCTGGCATCGAACCGCTGTTGCTCAGAGCTCAAACTCTTGAGCGAGCTCTTAACCAACTGAGCCACTCGGCCGGCCCTGTATGCCCAGGTTAATAGGTCCTTTCAGTTAATCTTCTGTGACTAAAAGCAAAGACCCCTTCCTAATTCCACTGCATTTTCTGAGCCACTGTTATAGACTTTAATGGAAATAACTAAAAGCTAAATTTAGAGGGAAAAGAAACCCTGTGTTATACTTGACTTGGAAGAGAATTACAATAGTCACCCCTATAACCAAAATTAATTTAATGCATTTTATAATTTTTCACATTTGCTAACCACGTCCTTCATTCTGGTCAGGTGAGACCCAAGGGTCAAAGAGCAGTGGTGCCAAACTCAACTCATAATGAGAAAACATGACTACAGCCTATATCCTGCAAATAGTTTTTACCAGAGATGTTAGTTATAAACAGCACAATCAGAATAAATGTCAACTGTAGGAATTTGGAAGGCAGGGACTTGAGTTCTTTTCTGTATTATCACCTCTCCTACCATGCTGACCCCACTCCTAATTCACTACAGATCTTTTATTTATATAGCAAGTGTCTGCTTCTAGGAAGCACTCCATTGCAGTTTGCTAAGTAAATAAAAGAAGCAGTTGAGGGCTCCACAGCTGACTTACTCAGTAAACACAGCCATTTACTTTCTTGGCTCTGTCTCACCACACCCACTTGTCAACAACACAGAACTCCTCAAATGAGGCTGCCTATCTTCCTTGCATTTAACTAAGGACTCCCATAAAATTCCATCTATTCGACTTCCATTCCCTCATTTTGCCACACACACATTTTAGGAGTCTTTTGAGGAGGGCCTAACAAATATGACGTGTCCCCACTGTTATTTTGTAAACTATCTTAGTATATGTTCCCACGAAAACAATTTTATAAATGGTACTTAAGAAAGGGGGAACTAACGTTTACCAGAGAATTTTGGTTCCTCTTCACAACCCTGCAGGATGGTGACATTATTCATATTTAACCTTCAGCCTGAGGAAAGCAGTGGCTCTCACAGATCAACTTTTGCAAAGTCACACCATTCAGATGCAAATCAGATCTCTGTGAGCTGGCACAGCATACTGACTTCATGAACATTTCTACATGACTTGTAGGTTTATAAAACACTTATGCGTACAGTAATTCAGTGAGTTCTCACCACAATCCTCAGAGGCAGTGTATTTGTTTCCATTTTAAACCTGAGGAAACAGAGGCTTATGAAACACGAGAGGCAGTACGGGAGAGTGCAAAGGAAAACAAGGTGCAAAGTTGGAGTCACAGAGACCTGGGTTCAAACCTCAGCTGCATATGTTGCCAGCGGTGTGACCCTAGGCATGTTCCCTTAAATCTCTGGGCCTCCATTTTCTCCTCTTCACATGTATAATAATTCTCAGTTTAGAGTGTTGTTTTAAGGCTTAAATTAGATAGATAATTAAAGTATATGACACACCACAGAGCACATAGTGAGTGCATGATCCACGGTTAACTGCTGACGAAAGCGATCACACAGGGAATATAAGGCTGTTTCTCAGGCCCAGTCCCCCACACTTCCCGCTAGCATAAATATATTAACATTAAGGGCTCAGCTAACATATAATGTAGCTAAATTCTGTACGCATCTTCTTCTGCATCAATCTCTTCCCAACACTAGCTTTCCTTTGGTCTGACCTTACTATGTTTTAGGTTAGAGACTAGCTGTTTCACCCACAAATGGGCACTTACACCCAGCCCCCAGTTTCTCACTGTCTCACAAGTCCTGGAGGCAGCAAGGCCAGGCCTCTCTCAGCACCTAAGACTTCAGGTGCTCCTTCCATGAGGGGACACACAGGCTACAGGGCACATTGTGCTTCTTGGTCCTAGAAGCACCTTGTCCTAGAGCTTTACTCATGAATCTTTAGCCAGGAGCATTTAAGACCCATGCTCTCCACTTATTCATCTTCACCTTGGGAGCAGAGTCCTGGACTCAAGAGGGAGATGGGCACTGCACTGGCCAAGTGTGAGGGGCACACAGGACCTCAGGTAGACACCTGTGTTCAGGGTGCTGGCCCTGCCATGGGAAGAGAGAAAGAGGAAGGAGCAAAGCAGGAGAGAGGGAACAGGGTGTCTGGGCGGAGTGGACAGAAGGAGTCAGGCTCTGTTCATTTGTGCCCATGAGGGAGTTGCTGGTAGCAGACACAGGGCAGAGGTGTGTCCTTAGAGGGGGTGGTGCTAGTCATTCACAACTAGGGGAAGCACCTTAATTATTTCACAAATACATCATGGGCAAGCTGCCTGGATTTGCCAAAAGTAGTAATTATCTAACTGTACTAATTCGGACATTAAAATGGCTGAATAACCCCTTCTTTTATGTGGACCATAAGTAAAAATAAAATCTCTCTTCCAAATTTATCTGCAGTTGACCCTCAAACAATGTGGAGTTAGGGGTGTCAGCCCCTATACCATGTGGTCGAAAATTTGCACATAACTTTTGACTCCCAAAAAACTTTACTGATTGCCTACTGTTGACAGGAAACTTGATCAAGTAACATAAATAGTCGATTAACCCAAATTTTGTATGTTATATGTATTATATACTGTAGCCTTAAAATAAAGTAAGGCAGAGAAAAGAAAGTGCTATTAAGAAAATCATAAGGAAGAGAAAATACACTTACAGCATTTATCAAAAAAAAAAAATCCACATAATAAATGTACCCGCATAGTTCAAACCCATGTTGTTCAAGGGTCAACTGTATTACCATATTTCTTTAAATATTTGGACTTATTTTTCCCTCCATGGTTTAATAATAATTTACTAACATTGATTTTATTTTTAATTAAATGTGTCAGATGAAGCTAATATGCAATATTCTAAATTAAGTGAAATATTTTGGTACCATTATAAGGCAAAGGGTGATATATGTATCTGCAGATGAGATTACTGGGTAATTTTCCTCTTTTGTGCTACTTTTGGTTTTCCAGGGTTTCCTATATTAGGCTCTTATTTCTTTGTAAATAGAAAATTTCCTATAACAATACTTTGGTATTTAGTTTTTTAAATTTAAGATTAAATATTTTATAAATTGCTGTTTTGCGATGAAGGTTTTGTTTTGCTTTTTAAGAAATTCATTATACAGGATATTTAAAAAAAGAAATACGGAAAACAGACTAGTAACATGGAACTGCATTACACTACGTCACACTGATGACCTTTATACTGGGATCGGAATCCTTATGTAAATGTTAAAAATTCAATTCTATCAACTTTTCACAAAGTCTAGTTTACTCACCGTCCCTTAACATACATGATGCGCATTTCTGCCCCACCAGCATGTCTGTTCTACTACTTCCTGACTCACACACACTTCCCAACCCAGGTTTCCAGAAGGTCCCCAAGTTCCCGTCCCCCACTCCTCTGTGATCAGCAGCCCAGAGATGGGCATGTTCAAGACGTCCAACTCTTAAGCGCAAGCACTTAGCCAACTTACCACTTGGTCCACCTTCTGATTATCAGCTGGTGACAGCAGCCACTCGATGTCCAGCGGGCCATGGTCTTCGGGACTCAGGGTAAATTTGCATGGCAAATAGGCAGTTTCCCCTTTGGCCTTTTCAATCATCTGATCAGGAGTAGTGATACTCAAACTTCTGGTGAAATCTGGAGAAAGGTACATATACATGGACTAAGCACCACCTGCACACTCCATGCACCCAGCTCGCGCAGAGGGAGCGCTGGATGCGGTGGAAACAGGATGCCGTCTGGGACCAGAATAACAGCATTCAAACTCAGCGGTGCCCAGTTTTTAGTTTGTGCCTTTGTAAAAATGGAATGACAATATTAATATCTACCTTCTTCAGTATAATTTCCTTTAAGAGCACTGTGAACTTCCCAACTTAATATGAAAGGTCCACTGTGTCATACTAATTCAATGCCACAAACACACTGGGATTTCCTAGTTGCTGGGAAATTTTGACACGTTTTCTGCCAAGACTTCTTTAATTCTAAATTTTTATTAAATTTGATTCTATAACTTTTATTGAATGCTTAAAAATATTTCTAAGCTAGGAGACTAGATCCCAAGAGTTCTCATCACAAGGAAAAAAAAGTTTTTTTCTTTTTCTTTTTTGTTTATATGAGCTGACAGATGTTGACTAAACTTATTGTGGTAATTATTTCACAATATGCGTAAGTCAAACCATACTGTACACCTTAAACATATAGTGTGTATGTCAATTATATATCAAAACTGGAAAAGAAAAAATATTTCAAAACAATAAATTTTTATGACAATTCATAAAGAGAGGAAACTGTCAATTTATCTATTTTAAATTTACCAGTGGACATCAATATTATCTTTAAGCTATTTCCTTCATCCCTATTTCCCTTCTGCAAGTCAGTCATATTATATTATATTTTAAAGACATCTTAAAAGTTCCATAACTTATTATCAAATTTGTATAAAACTTCCATATAAAAGAGAAAATTAATGCTGAATGGCAATACCTGAAAAATACATAAAAGCCAAAATAAGATGTCCTGAGCCACAAACAAAAACTCCGAGACTCTTCTGATTTTATTAAAGAGATGGCTTAAACCCACTGAAACACTAAGAACAACAAAAAAGGTGTCCTCCCTGCTGCTAATGGTTTACAAAACTTTTATCTTTTACATGCAGAAAAGGTAGAAACATTATATGAGCAAAATGGCACAATTTCTTGATCTATATAAGAGAAAGAAGTACCAAGGTTAATTATTCACATCCTGTTTTTCAAAAAAAGGGCAATTTTGTTCATAACAATTTACACATAAAAATAGGTCTGTTCACCACTTATGTCTTATGTCAAGATCAAAGTTTGAACAAGACAAAAACTTGATATAAAATGCAAATTTAGTCTGTAAATGAACTATCACACAAAAATTTATTTTACTATTTCTATTCTAGAAGTTTACACAGCACTAATTTGTCAATGTATGTATTCTTTATGATGACTCAACACTTTCTTAAGTATAAATTCAAATATCTAATGTATGCAGAACCAAAGTGTCAACAAAACAGCAAATTTTAGCAGCTTTACCATGTTGACCTCTACCATCACTAAACACTGACTTTCAGCGCTGAATAATGGCCTGGAAGAGACGCCAAACACCAAGATTACGGTACATGGGTCGTTGGCTCTCTCACTTCTCTTTCCCTGCTCCTACCATCAAAATAAGCACATTAGAGCAAAATTTACAGTAAGGACATCCAAGGTCCCGGTTCTCCACAATGACTACTTTGATGCTATTTTTCAAATAATAAATTCCAACAGAACAAACTAAAATGAAGAATTAAGTCATTAGCTATCCCATGATCCTTTCCATTAACCCCTAAAAGAAGCTTAAAAACACAGAGACTATCACTTGTAGTAAAATGTTAATAAAGTTGAGGCCAATAGGTTGAGAACAAAAGGAAGGCCAGATTATGTTCAAGACCACTTATATTCAGGCACCAACCTAAGCTGTTAAGCACATTTACATACACTCCTCAAACAGCAGATTAAAATGGGGCAGGCTCTCTGTTCCCTTAAATCAGAGGCTGTCCTAACTCTGACCAATAGAACACAATATGAGTGTCGCTGTATGGAGCTTTGAGGCTAGGCTGCAAGAGGTCTTGCTGCTCCCACGCCCGCCTTCTTGGACTCCTGCCACCTGCCACGGAGTGAACAAACCAGGTTAAGAGAGAACTGAAGTGTTTGACCAACTGCTGCAACTGCCCAACACGCAGCCACCCTAGAACATCCAGCCCCATGAGTGAGCCCAGAACTCCCATCTCGGGCTAGCCTAAACTGGCAACCCACAGGATCAGGAACTAACACAGAATGTTTGTTTTTAGCGTCTAGGGTTTGGGCTGGTTTGTTACACAGCAAAGTTTGATGACACACCATTCAAACCCATTGATTCAGCCCAAAGGGACTACTTAATATTGCCCTGAAAAGTCCACACTACTCCAATCTGCATTTTATGTCCACATATCTGTTTAAATTATATGGCTTGATATTTATGTATATAATCTCAAGTCTCTCCTAATTTAAAATTCAATCCTCTAAATACATACTTTCTATCATTTCTAATTAACTCAGTTCCATTCCTACCTCATTCACCAAGACATTTTTCTGCCTCTCTAGCCCACAATTTTTCTCTCCTATGAAATATGCACAGTACTTTAGTTTCTGCTATCTGTATTACCCGTTGGCCTTAGCATATACTAATCTTGGAGAGTTTTCCCTTTATAAACTCTATTGTGAAGTTGACAAGATAGGCTCCATGGTTTTGTCACATCTTCTACTGTAGATCAGGGGTCGGCAAACTGTAGCTCGCGAGCCACATGAGGCTCTTTGGGTACGTACATGTGGCTCTGAAGTAAAACTGAAAATGAAAATAAAACTATCATAGTTTAATTTATAAAATGTTTAAAGGATATTATTAACATAATGGTGACTTCATTTGTTTTATGGCTCTCGAATCACTTTTAAATTGTTGTGAGGGACAGGATTGGCTCTTCCGTCTAAAAAGTTTGCCAACCCCTGTTCTAGATGGTGATGAGCTTATCTTCTGCCCATACTACTTTGTCTTTTTTACATGGATTTTTTTTAATGTATGTCTTGATTTACCATGAACTCACTAGCTCCATTAGGGTTGGGAGAAATAGTGGGTACCTGTATCTCCTGTTGTAGTTCCCTGCACATTAGTAGAAAAGAACTGGTGGGGGCCGGCTGAGTGGCTCAGTTGGTTAAGAGTTAGTTGGCTTGGGAGCACGAGCTCTGAGCAGCACGGCCAACGGTTTGGTTCCCACATGGGCCAGTGACACTGAGACCTCTACAGCTAAGATGGTGAACAACATCTCGACCTGGAGCTGGGCTGCTGTGAGCCGCCATGAGCGACCATCCAATGGCCAGCGACTGCCTCAGCTGGGAAGAGCACAATGATCATAATACCAACTTGGGCCAGTGAAACAGTGTCCTCCACAACTAGACTGAAGAACAAAAGCACAGCAACTTCTATTGCCCTCCCCCAACTCCCCAATAAAATCTTTAAAAAAAAACCCCAAAAATGAAAAGAACTGGTGACTAGATTATAAGTTTGATCAATTTTAGAAATGTGGAAAGAGCATTAAGCTGCCAGAAGTGGTTCCTGCTCCTTGAAGAGGTCCTTTCTTATAGCCACTGCAATTTGTCACCTACATTTAATTTGTCTGGGTATTAATATTTTATGTATTCAGTAAGATTAAAAACAATCTCATGCTCCAGAACGAAAATTCCATTCCAAAATCAGTCAAGACACATCCCAAAATGTAGAGGTAGAAATATATGAGAATGAAAATTTACTATAAAAAAAACAATTAAAACATCCTGGTTACTCTGTGCTTTTAGGGTTTTTATTTTGTAAAAATCAAATTAAAAAAGTTAAATGACATCTCTAAATGTGTCTAAATTCAAATGCTAATTATACTCTCAGTACTTCCATTACAGTCATTAGAATAAAACACAACTTAGTTTTCATGATAGTATCTTTCACACTTTCTTGTTTGATACACAAAAATTACTTTTATCTTAACAGAGTACCATGGGAAACAGTTCCATATATATAAAAATACCCTGGAAAAATATATACTGAACTGTTCACAGCAGTTATTTCTTGAGAACTGAGAGTCTAAGAAAGGTGACTGCCCACTTCTGCTTTATACTGAGATTTTCTTAACGTGTATACTGCTAAAGAAATTTTAAACAGATTTTTTAAATAGCTTTCATTTATTTTTTTTCAAAAAATATTTAAAACATTCAACAGCTCTTCATTGTGTTGCACTAGAAATGAATTAAAATCTCAAGGTCATACAAAACAGTTATTGGGTTTCCTAGCAACAATGAAGGGGCCTCTTTGCACAGAGCCACGATTTTTCAAGTGTTGATATATGCAACAGTCACAAATTGTAGAAGACACAAAACAGACACTTGGTCTCATGCAGTGTCTCTGGGGATTCTTTCCTAATACTGCCTAATTCTATTTATGAAGCAAATTGAGTGACAATTTAACTTGCAAACTATTGTACTTGCAGGTTCAAACACAGTCTGAAAACTAAATCAAATAAGACCTTTTCTTACAATTTTATTCAAACATACTCAGAGTGTGACAAAATATGTAGCACATTATCAACAAGTATTTGCAAGGTCCAGTTAATAAGGGTGCACCACTGGATTATGTAAATAAACTGAATCACGTCCCATTTTGGCAGTGACTGAAATAACATCTCCCAGTTTTCTGCTTGCTTTTTTTTTTATTCTCCAAATGCCAAATCACTTGAATCTGTCAAGTTTCTCTTCTGCCCAGTCTGACTTCTATCTGAGCATTAAAATGACATGAGTTCACTGAACTGTTTTTTACTTTTTGATGTTGTCAATCTCCAACTAAGGCCTTGGATTTGTTTCTACTCTGAGAATAGAGAACTGGAGATAATGGAAGGCACTACTTCTCTGGAAGGCAGGCAACATTTAGAACTGACAAGCTGCCTTGATTAATTTATTTTCCAAGTTCAAGCTATGGGTTAACCTGGATGGTTTTCAGCAATTTTTTGCTTCTTCTGACAATCTTAAAATCATAGGAAGTTGAAAAGTGCTCATGAA